GAGAGGGATCCTAGATTGGAGAGGGAGCAGGCTGGGCTGAGGGATAAACACACACCCATGCACGAATTTCATGCACTGGGCCATTAGTAGTAGTATAAACATCAAAGTTGCTAAAAGACAATATCTTTATTGTTCCCTCCACAAAAAGCAATGATAACGATGTGGCATGATAGAATTGTTAGCTAATGTGGTAATCATATTGCGATATGTATCAAATCAACACATTGAACACCTTACACCTACACAATGTTCAATGTCAATTATCCTATATAATAAGAGAGGAATATGCCAATTGTCATTACCATAAGGTAACGACCAGTTTAGCAGGCTCAGGTGGGCAGGCCTGGGCAGCCAGCGGACATAAGCCTGTGGTGCCTCCTCTAGAGTTGGGGAGCTAATGAGGGACGGGCTCTGGTCCTCCTCCAACAGCCCTCTCTGCAGGCATGGGGCTGCTGAGACCCTGGCCAGGCCTCCGGCCACAGATCCACAGCTTCACGGAGACCGACTCTATCAGGCCGCCCGGAGGCCATGTGGCTGGGACACAGGGTGCCCGAACCCAGTGCCCGTTCAAGACATGAAACAGAGAGGAGGTGTGGGAGGACATCCAGATAATGGGATGTGGGGGTTCAAGACTCACTCCCTTTGGGCTTGGTCCTTCTTGGCCCGCCTGAGGGGCGGCTCCCGGGTTAGTGCCACGGCTTCGGGGGAAGCTGCCCGCCAGGAAGCGGGTGGCCCAAGGGGCGCAGAGCGGCGCCGAGTTGGGGTGCACCGGAGGGGGCTCAGGCAGGGACAGGGGGCCAGCAGGCGGGATTTGCCTCTCCAACGGACAGCAAGCTTCTGCAGTGGCCCTAAGACGCGGGTGAAACAAAAGGAGATGACTGTGGGAGTGGAAGGACACCCAGGCGGAGGGGCACGGACCCGTAGCCCTGAGGCAGGGGTTGAGGGGCAGCACCACCTCAGTGGAGGGGCGCCAAGCTGCCAGGTACCCCACTGCGACAGTTCTGCGAAGCTCCCAGCACTAACCGGGCCTCACCCCGGTGGCCTGCACACTTGAGAGGCCGGGACTCCTGCTTCAGCCCAAAAGCAAGCCCATGCCCACACAGCCCCACCCCCAGTTCCCGCTCCGCAGCACTCCACGTCTGTGAGCGCCTGCACAGTGAATGAGAAGCCTACCACCTGCTCCCCAGAAGATGGGGGGTGGGGTCTGGGGAGAGGAAAGAATGTGAAGCGTCCACGATGGAGAGGTGCTTGAGAATGAGGTCGGAGGTTTGTTCTGTTTGCCCCGAGGTTATGAGGGCTCCCTGCGTGCTGAGTCCAGTTCCACAGCCAACTGGAATTGGCCTCAGTTTCCTGATCTGTGAAATGGATTAAGCGTGTCCCAGTGCCTTCGCTGAGCTTTGAGGGCAATTGAAATACTATATAAAGAAAATGAGGGAAGAAGTGAGAAAGAAAAGGAAGGGCGAGCAACACAAAAGAAAGATTGGAAGGCACCTGTAAACCTATTGTCACTCAATATAGTCAACGGTGTTGTGATGATGGTATGAGGCCAGGTGGGTACTGGAAATATTGGGGAACACTTTGTAAAGTATATGTTTGTCTAACCACTATTCTGTAACTAATATAAAACCTGAAACTAATGCAAAGTAACACTGAATCTAAAGAAATGAAAATAGGAGTGAAAGTTTTATAAATTTCAAAGTTTAAATAAAGGCTGTAAAGGAAGGAAGGGGGAGAATAAAAATAGTGTTTTTCATTTTACCACTTTATTGTCTTCTCAGTACATGAAAAAGACAGTTGTCTTTATATGGTGCTTTAATACTTTTCTAAGTTATTATCTCATTGATGTTCAGGGCAACTTAAAGACAAGATAATTATTCCCTCCACTATTCAAAGAAAGGAAATCTTGGTGTCTGGCCCCAATGATTCAATTGTCAAGCCCTTATTGTAAAGCAAGGTTAGTGAAATTTTCTGTGAAGGATCATATCTATACTAATGAAAGCCTTGGGGGTGATCAGGCCAGCAGCCCACAGC